TGTTCCGGTTGGAGTCTTAAATGTGAATGATATAAAGTCACTGAGGATATGAACTGTAACACTGATTCAATGGAAAGCAGCGACTCAGTGTGCATAAAGCGGATGAAAATGTATATCATAACACACTTCGAGACATTTATTCGAAGTAGTAAGCAGCAAAGACACAATGACTGAGAGACATGCTTTTAATTAGTTTACAACTGAACATATCTTTTGCTCTCTCTCAAGATTCACTCTTAATCAAAAACTGGAAAAAAAAACTCTATGAAAATCTCTACCATCACATAATCATTCAATAGTTTTATGCACACTCTGTGAATAAAGAAAAGAAAAATTTTACAGATTTTACAGTAATGAATGCCCTTTTAAAATGGATACAAAAATAACTTTGAATTATTGTGTTTCTTTTCAAGAATTCCAGGCTGACTGATGGTAATCAATATACATTGACCTTATCGGAAAAGCAGAAAATAATAACGATATACTCGTATAAGATAACTTTGGATAATTTTAGTCACTTTTTAGCTGCCAAATTACGACAGCTTTGCGTATTTTTGTTCAAAATTGCCGTATGGCAATAGATTTCGGTTCTCTAATTCGCGTCCAGTGGTATCAATTTTTTTCACATTAAACTTTTCCTTGCCTCAGCAAAGCTCAGTGGAAAGAGATATTTCCATCTCCATCGATTTAGGAAAATAGCCTTTCATAAAAGGCAGGAAGAAGGAAAGCACAACTATTACACTGTGAAAAGAGAAATTAACTCCCTTTTCTTTTCTTATTATCCAGATTACGGCCAGTTTTCTTTAATTTCCCTCCTCAATAAACAACTGTGCCGAAGGAGAAGAGATCGTCGGTAAATCATAAGTCACCGACAGAGACATTGCATACGCGTGTAACATTTACGAAGTACGGGAAACGCGCATTCGTGCGCACATGGCTGTACGCATCTCAAGCACACACAGAAGGCTTTTAAATTTGGAACATAATGTTTTGGTTCTCAAATGTCTCCTCTAGGAGCTACAGATAAGTTTAATTGCCATTATTATGATGAATAAACATTTCCAGATTAACTCTGTATAGGGGAAAATAATTAAATGTTTCATTCAGAATTGCAATAGCCACATCTACCTATGTTAGGGGTTAGTTCTTGACCTAAAGAAGTTCGCAAACCAAAATTAACACTGAATTCTGACGAAACACGGTTGTTCTCTGAAAAGAAAGACGTTTCATGGACCATTTTCTGTGCTCCCGTAAGATTTTCCACCATTTGAGTCCTGTTTGGTGATTGCGCTGTCATCTCCAGACCCTCTCCTTCCTTTATTTCCGTTGCCATCACCCATCTCCTCGTCCCCAATCCCCACGGCTGAGCCAACAAAGGAAGAATCTGACAACTCAGTGTCTTTAAGTTTCTCAATAAATGAGGCTTTCTGCATTTGATGGTGAATGTTAGATGCGATCATACTGAGTGTGATGGAAAGGACTGACAGGCCAAGGAATACGAGGAAAATATTCACGAAGACGAGCTGGGAAAAGAAGATTAAAGAACTAAGGTTACAATTATGGATTACACCAGTCGGTAGAGCTCTTTTCGATTGAGTGTCATAAAACTACAACCAAAGTAATCACAACAGCCAATCAGAAGAAACGTTAGGTGTCCATGAACTCAAAAGCGCGGGAAAACGCGGGCAACCAAGGCGTGATTGATTTTATTTTTACATCTGATTGGTTGAGAGAGTGGCACGAGTTTGTTTTCTGGACCAATCACAGAGCGAAGTAGAGCAAAAACAAGGCAATCCCAGATTCCTTTCGACAGTCAATTAAAAATTGCTCTTATATGTACGCTTGATAAGATGTTAAGCATTCAAAAGGCATACAAAATTAAGAAAAAATAAAAACAAGCAATAACTCGATTATATGGAGCCGGTTGCTAAAAATTATCTGTTTTAAATGGGTCTGTAAAAGTCACATAACCTACTCTTCAAATATGATTTCAGAAATTCTGGTCAGTAGTGATGAGTGATTAGCATGTAATTTCTCTTTACAACATCACCCCTGCATCACACATTGAGGTCATGAGAATAAAGGAAATGATCACCAACTTAAGAAACTCTTGATTGTTAAACAAATTCTCCTTGTCAGCACCTTTGATATGTATAAAAAACAGCATGGAGAATATTTATACTAACGCTTTGGTTTAGAGGGTAAATTGTACAGATGGTATGCATTCATTGCCATGGAACTGATAGCTCTATCTGGTGACAGTTCTTGAAACTCGTCACTTAAAGTTGAATACATTAATTCCTAATTTCTATCTACTGATCTTTTTTTACACAATATGTTCATCCAACAGATATAACACGTGATTATATCGCTGCGTGCTTAATTCATGGTATAAGTAGATGTATGCAAGAAATCGCAATATACCTGCTCTTTCTGTGGTACGACGTCTCCAAACCCAATGGTAAGATACGTTATGTATTGAAAATAAAGAGAGGTGCCAAAATCCCATCCTTCTATCCAACAAAACAGCCCAGCCATAAGAGTGGTGAAGATAAGAAGAATTAACAGACCCATCCACAAAGGAGCGTCCACTTGGCCATCATCTCCGTCTTGGACACTGGAAGAAAAAAGACGAAGGTATTAGCCTGTTCCAGGTGTTCAGTTAGCAAAACGAAGCGAAATTGTAGACGGCGCAGTAGTGGTACAGGAGGAAAACGCTGCCCGGGAGGCCTGGGTCGGGTCGCGTTGAAATCTGCGCGACTCGACCCAGGCCCTCCTCGTTTTTTCCACTCTAACGCTATCACCGGGTCGTTTACTTTTACACTTTGTTTTACTACCAAAACGCCTAAAACAGGCTTAAAACTCATTATAGGGAGAGGCATAAAATTGCTTCCCCAAAAGACTTTTGGTGCCCATGCACTTTTCCCAGTTTCAAAAGCTTAAAGCGACTTAATGCATTTTTACTCTATTTGAATTGCATGTTTTTCCACAGAACCACCGGCGATTCGTCAAGTTTTCGTGATTCCTCGTTTACTCTTAGGTGGAAAGCAGACATTGTGAGAAGAGTTTCCTACCCAAAAACACAGCCAGGGCTCGAACTCAGACCCCTCTATTCCCAGTCCAGCGCATCAACCACCCTACCTTTGCGTCTGCCATTTAGCGTAAAGATAAAGCACAGAAAAAGACGACACAATGGGTTTTATGCTAAGAATCGCATGAATGATAACATAAAACTTACGTTCGTTCATATTCGTACGACTTGTGAACTTTCCTATACCATTTAAGAAGCCAAGCGCATGCGTCGTTTATGTAATCACCCAAAATTTTACCAACGATAGCAAGGAGTGCTAGGGTCAGAGGTATTCCTAGTAGTGCGTAAATGACACAAATGACGCGGCCAGCTACTGTTACTGGGGACAAGTTTCCATAACCTAAGAAAAATGAGTAATATTGAACTAAAAACATTTGCATAAAGTATATCAAAATAATTATGTATTCACAGCATCCCTTGATCTAATGGGCAGCCAAATTAATGGTTACAATTTACAGACGTATCCGATCTACAGGCTTAATAATTTAAATCATTTGCAAAGCGTACTTAACAGTCCCACATGAAAGTGCCCCTCAGCCTGCTCAATAGAAGACTACGAGCAGTCCCTGTTTTTCGGTGAAGTCCCGCAAGTCAAAAAGACACATTGAAAAGAGAAACATTATGTTAGCACGTTGCGCTGAACTCTGGAAGTTTGACTTGTACGGCAGACCTCGTCGAATAGCAGAGACTGCTTGTAGTATAGCTCAGTAGCGTTTCTTTGGACAGTCACCTGGTAAGTTTTGATCCACTTGTGCGCGAAAAAATTAATCTAGAAAAATTTATTGCAGTCACTCGTAATAAGGAGAAGGAATTCAGGAAGAAATGGAAATTTTTTCTCTCTTTACAAAATTGTATTCTGTCCTTTTTCTTCTCAACTTTTGTATTTTGATTTGTTTCTTTTCGCTATCTATTTATTTAATAATCTATTAAATTCTAGAAAATTAATACCTTATGTAGTGTAATTAACAAACAGAATTCTTATTAGTGACTCGAACAATTAACACGCAAACAATAACGTAAATAGATCAACTGTAATTCAATTTGACTAGTGTAATTGTATTGTAATATATGTTTGTAAGTAGTGCAAGTTAATGTAGTGTAAGCATTGTGTAAGAAATAAGTATAGGGTAAGTACTTATGTAAGTATAGTATATAGAATAAAATGAAAATAAAAATTAAAAAAAAAAAGTTTTGATACACAGATTTCAAGGTTAGAAACACTTTGTACAAAATTACAATTATGGTTACGAGGACAAAAGAAACGATCACCAAGAAGCCCTAGATGGTTATTCCTGTTAGCACTTTAGGAAATGTATAGAGAACTGTATGGACAGTCTACATACTGATGTTAGGGTAAAAAGGGTTAATTAATAGAGAGAATCACTGCATGCAGCAGGATAAACAGTGCTGGCTAAAGGTGCTCCTAAAAGTCAATTACCCCAAATACCAGAGTTAGACACATGATTAAAACTGCTATATAT